GCGGCTTAGAAGAAGATTTGTCTCATGTCTCACTAATGCTACAAAAAATCTTCTATAGTGCAGCTTTACGTAAATTCTAAACCTGCAAACAGGGCTGCACTATATGGAAAAACATCTACTTCTGATTACACTGCACCAAGTGAAGCTCATTCGCATTTGCACATCTCTGCTACATCAGTACTGTGAAATGCAATATTGTGTTAAGGTTTATAAACAATATATTGTGCTACTGCATCATGTATTTTGCACTGTAATTGTTCAAATGGCAGCAGGGAGTTGATACGATGGTGACCATCTGTGTACTCAGGAAATACCTGGGGGACAGCCATCTCAAGTATCAACAGGAAACATGCCCAGTTGCATCTACATTTCCTCTGAGACCCACGTCACCGCATGTCGTAACAGTAAGAGTGTCCTCATGACAGACTATGATATACTATGTCCAAAAGAACTGATTCTAATTAGTGTATTTATACATACATATATAAATTCATACACAACATTCATAGCTTGTATGATTTCCATAGAAATCATACAAGCTATGAATACACCAATCAGGCATAACATCATGACCACCTCCTTGTTTCTACACTCATTGTCCATTTTATCAGCTCCACTTACTATATAGGTGCACTTTGTAGTTCTGCGATTACAGACTGTAGTCCATCTGTTTCTCTGCATACTTTGTTAGCCCCCTTTTACCCTGTTCTTCAGTGGTCAGGACCCACATGGACCCTCACAGAGCAGGTATTATTTGGGTGGTGGATCATTCTCAGCACTGCAGTAACACTGATGTGGTGGTGGTGCTGTGTTAGTGTGTTGTGCTGGTCTAAGTGGATCAGACACAGCAGTGCTGCTGGAGTTTTTAAACACCTCAGTGTCGCTGCTGGACTGAGAATAGTTCACCAACCAAAAACATCCAGCCAACAACGTCCTGTGACCACTGATGAAGGACTAGAGGATGACCAACACAAACTGTGCAGCAGCAGATGAGCTATCATCTCTGACTTTACATCTACAAGGTGGACTGACAAGGTAGGAGTGTCTAATAAAGTGGACAGTGAGTGGACACAGTGTTTAAAACTCCAGCAGCACTGCTGTGTCTGATCCACTCGTACCAGCACAACACACACTAACACACCACCACCATGTCAGTGTTACTGCAGTGCCGAGAATGGCCCACCAATAGTACCTGCTCTGTGAGGGTCCATGGGGGTCCTGACCACTGAAGAACAGGGTAAAAGGGGGCTAACAAAGTATGCAGAGAAACAGATGGACTACAGTCTGTAATCGCAGAACTACAAAGTGCACCTATATAGTAAGTGGAGCTGATAAAATGGACAATGAGCGTAGAAACAAGGAGGTGGTCATAATGTTATGCCTGATCTGTGTACATTTACAGTACACTCTCCATCAATCTGATGAACCCTGTCAAGATGCAAAGAACCCTTTAATCATGCCAAGGGTTCTTTGAGTGTTCATGGTTCTATATAGAACCATTTTCTTTAATAAAGAACCTTTGAAAACCCATCTTTTTAAAGTGTGTATTGAGATACATTCTAACTGTATTCTACATGTATATGATACTTTCATTATGTCATATTCAGTGCAATACTTATACTATATTTTCAAAGCATTTTCCCAACTCCAGCCCACAATCATCCAATCAGTGCATTCCTAATGGAGTATGAATCCTGCATCCCCACAGTAACAGGGAAACAGTGCTTGGCGGACGCTGAGCAGCAGAATGGCCAAGGTGAGGGGGAGGAGCAAGAGGGTAACCGAAGGACAGTCTGCAGTTTGATGAAAGCAAATCGACCAGCACCAGCTTGAGCAGCTTGTACTGAGCTGCAACTCCTGGCACTGACAGACAACATCTGGCACAAGCAGGGATTAAAGTGCACAGCATAATAACAGGGAGGGGGCTTGGATCTCAGTAATAATAGCTCAGGCACACAGATGCAGCCTACACAGTGGACCACACATACACACATCACAGCTTAGAAAGCTCTGTAGCCACACGAAGTCGGTCTTTTTCGAATTTCCCGTTCCACCTTAAATGGTGCAGCAGTTACATTCTGTCGCCTGAGGCGTTAGAATGTAACTGCTGCACCATTTAAGGTGGAACGGAAAGTTCGAATCAACCTTCACAAAATGACAACACCCAGTTCCCTTACATCACCGAGAGTGACAGAAGCAGGGATTACACATAAGAGCAAACCAGCCACCGCTCCCACACACCCGGACCCAGCAGACAAGCGCCCCGAGCGGGTCTCTCTCACCGTGCGAAGCTGGGGGCAGGTGTGTTCCAGCTCCTCCATTTTTCCTGGCTGGAGGCTCCAGAGACAAAAGGCCGTGGATCCACCTGTCTCTGACTCAGCATCAGTTTTGGAGCTGCTTTTTCCCCCTCGCTGTTTCCGAAGCCGCTCTCCTTCAGGACTCCTACGAGCCGAAGCTGAAACCTTGCTCCCGCCCACACTCCTCCTTTCTGCCGCTCTCGGACCCTCCCTGCTACCCCTTCAGCCCCCGTCAAAGCTAAAGGAAGCAGTTCGCAGCCTAGCCTTCGGGCATCACTGTCTCCGCACCGTCCATCACAACAAGCAGAAAGGCAAGCGGATTGGGGCGAAGCCGAAGCAGAGGGAGGGCCAATCAGCAAGCCCGCATTCTTCTCTGATTTACATACGAGGACGTGATTGGACGAGCGCGCTGTAGCGCCATCGCTGGGTCCCTAAATCTGCTCAATAAGCCAATAGTTTGTTGTTTAAGCTTATTTTAACCCATGAGTGACCAGCAGCCAGATTTATTATGATAGAGAGAAAAAAAAAGATTGAAATTCTGCGTTGTTATACATCATAAGACCATCAAACGAAGTTATTGTCAATATTTTATTCACAATCGAATTTGATTTTTCTATTGTTTTGCTGATAATCAGAAGTCCAATGTGCCCAAAATACTAGAATTAATATGATTAATTAAGTGTTTAAATATGCTGGGATGTATTTTCACAGAGTAAGCTCATAATTAGCCAGAATACCAGAAGTCAAGCCTGTTCTATAGATGAAGTGTCCAGGAACATCTCTGCTGGACAATCCTCACTTTTTGTTTATCTATATTTACCAGGTACAGTATCTCCTTTATTATTGTTAAATGATGCACTGAACTCTTATTTGTCGTTATCACAATGTATTGGTCATGAATACAAAATTGCATAATAAAAAGTATCACAAGCGTGCGTAAAACATCATGTACAATTTTGTATTTGGACATTTGGACTGTATGTTCATCATATCTACATTTGTCTACATCTATGCATGGACTGAATCTACAATGCATTTCCACAATAACAATCTCAAATTCATATTTTACATAGGTTCTTTTGGGCCATGCGAAGCTTAGCGCTGCTTAACGTCTAAAATATTTATTCTATGTGAATATGGATTTGTGAAAACTTCTCCCTGTTTCAGTACTGGTTTTAACAAGCCCTCGTTCACTTCCCCTGAACACCTCCACTCGGGGGAGTCCTCAGCGCCATCTTAAGGGCTGTTCCATTATTTTAGTAGCTGAAGTGAAGGCTGTTAGATGAGCCCTCAGAGGGGTGAGGGGTCGAGTGAACACCAGTGTCGACTTCAGCAGAACTTGCCCCAAAATCATTGCGACCTGACGCAACTTTTCTCTTTCAAACCCAAAAATAATGGCAGACAAATCTGTTTGTAAGCTATAGCAAAAAACTATTATCACTATTCATTATCATTATTTATCACTTTTCATCAGAACAATGCAACTTCATCGCTTTCCTCTGCTAGATGGCTCGTTAGTATGCTAAAGGCTACATGGCTAACAATAAGAAAAAAAAAGGCATTATACCAGAGCCAGAGCCAGTTTATGAGGAGCCTGGCCACTTCCTATTTCCCCCGTTGTATCAAAAACATGACTGCAAAACAGCAGAGGGCGCCCGCGAGCGAGTCCTCAATGAATGGGGGTGAAGGAACCTAAATGGCTAAAGGTTAAAATAATTTCTCAAATCAATTGCCCAGAAATTTCCTTTAATTTTAGAAAGTAGAAGGATGTATTTCACTGAAAAGGCAAAGAAAAAATTCCTGTATATTTCCTTTTTAACAGCAAGCAGGTTTTGGGCAGCAGGACGCTAACATTACTGCTACTGAGTGCTGATTGTTTGGCAACCGGAACAGCTCATTGGCTGTTCGCGCTCATTGACGGCTTTTAAAAACTCCCATAACTCGAGTTGAAATACTCTTAAAAATATAACAGCAGCGCTAAAATGTTTTTTGTTCTGTGTTCAGGAAGTGATTATATTCTTTTACATTAAAAATGTTTAAGCATTTAAAAACTATGATTTTCCTCAAAGACTCCATATTAATCCTTTCATTTTGGACTCGCTCAGGAGCGCCCTCTAGTGTTTGACAAACCCAGAAGACATTACTGAGTGGTAATTCTCCCCACTACAAGTTCTCTGATGGCTCTACCAGAGAATGTGTAGAGAGGAGAAAAGCCACTCAGTAATGTCTTCTGGGTTTGTTTAAATTTAGTATTAGAATGATAAGAAAAAACGTAGAACTTATCCAGATTGGTGTAAAGTGTCAGAACCTACGTGTGATGTGATCTAAGTAAGTGCTAAAGACTCACTATGGCTGTTTATTAGGCATATTACGCGCTGATGAGGGAGTAGGGTGTAGTGAGTAGTGAGTAGGGAGTAGTGAATAAGGAGTAGTCAGTTGGGAGTAGGGTGTAGGGAGTATGGAGTAGAGAGTAGTAAATAAGGAGTAGTGAGTAGGGAGTAGTGAGTAGGGTGTAGGAAGTAGTGAGTAGGGAGTAGGGAGTAGGGAGTAGTGAGTACAGAGTAGGGAGTAGTGAGTACAGATTAGAGAGTAAGGAGTAGGGAGTAGTGAGTACAGAGTAGGGAGTAGTGAGTACAGATTAGAGAGTAAGGAGTAGGGAGTAGTGAGTAGGGAGCCACTTGACATTCACCCATTTCTAAACCTCATATTAAGCAACACCGCCATCTAGTGGCATTGCCTAGAAAGTGCAGCTTTCTAGCTGAATTCTAATTGGTTGTTCCACCATTACGACATTTTCCGGCATATGAGTTTCCCCGGGAAGGTTTGGCGCGTAATCTGTTGTTTTGGTTTTCTCTTCGGATTCATTGATAAAATTGATATATCGCATCTCTAAATCGTATCGATCAGATGGCCCCGGTATCAAATCCAGATAAAGACGCGGACGGCGGAGATTACGGTGAGCATTCGTGCCGCGTTTAGCGGCCTCAGCTGCTGAAATGTGCCGCTAATGTTGTGTAGCCGAAGCGGTTTCTGCCGCGAGACGTCACGACACACTTTTACTAAAAACGTCACTTAATATTAAAGTTTGTTTCAGTGTCTCTGCTGAACAACAACATCTAACGGATTAGGTGTCAACGGCGTTTGTTGCTTTGTGTAACATCCAAATGTCCTCCTCCACACGAATAACAGTGAAATGTACGTTCAGCGGGTTTTCTGACTAAAATTCGACAACAAACTTTTCCCTTCTGCACTTTTAGCCTCTGCTTACTGAGCACCGGGTTTACAGAAGGGCGGAAAATATCAGCATTTCGGCATTATTAACGCATTAAAAACGAAGCTGTAGTTATCCCAATTCGCCAGTTCAGTTTTTCCGTTCCACCTTAAATGGTACAGGCTTTTAACCTACACTACTTAAGGTGGAACGGGATTCCAGTAAGAAGCTGGCTTTGCCATGAAAATGTTCACCGCAGTGTCTCAGGGATTTTACGACCCAGCAGAAACCTTCACCGGCCAGCCTTAGCTAGATGAGTTAGCTAGCAGCGCTAACCTCTAACGGGGGCTGTATTTGCTATCTGGTTGATAGTTAGCTACATACTTAAGAATGTGGTTCTTTACAGGTTCTTAAGTAGAGGCAATGGTTCTGTTTAGAACCAAGAGTTCTATATAGAACCAGTTAATGCTTAAATGACTCGTTGCATGGTGAAATTGTGCGTCAGATTGATGGAGGTTGTGTTGTAGATGCTTCTATATAGCACCAAAAAGGGTTCTGTTATTGTCACAGTATCAAGCTTGTGACAATAGAGGAACCCCTTTTGGTGGTATACAGAACCATTTTCAAAAAGAGCCATAATCAACACATTCTCCATCAATCTGAAGAACAATTTAACTATGCAAAGAACCATTTAAGCATGAAACGCATCTATATAGAAACAGGGTTCTGAACAGAACCATTGCCTTAATTTAAGAACCCTTGAGAAACCATCTTTTCTTAGTCTGTACTTAAATAGCATGGCTGGTCACCAGCAAAACCAGCATATGTTGTATGTAATATATATAGTTTATGTTGTATATAATAACCATTTCATGCTTGAGTGGCTCTTTGCATGGTGAAAATGTCCTTCAGGTTGAGGGTGAATGTGTTCTATAGGGTTCACTATAGAAAATGGTGCTGTACAGCACCAAAAATGGTTCTTCTGCTGTTACAAGTGTGATGTCGTATGCAAACGTCAAACGTCGGTGTGAAATATTGGGCAAATCTGACAGTTTTTAAAGCAAATATCTGCAGATGCGGGTATAATTCTAATATTGTGCGTTCCTTTTAGTTACAATCATTGGATTTTCTGTGTTATTTACAGTCCGTACTCCTATATGACCAGACGGAAGTTAAAAAACTCTTAACAATGTAGTTTTAACAATATAGTTTTCCAATATAGTATAAATTGACAGCTTATTCAAATGTGTGCTCAGGTAAGCACAGAGAACATTTGCGCTTAGTTAAAACATTGATTTATGGCCCTTTGGTGCAGATGCTGCGGACAGTTGCGGCCTTGCTGCGTCCCGCTCCAGGCGAGAGAAGAGGGAGAAAGTTGGCCGCAAGTCTGCACTGGAGCAGCTCAAGAGAGCCAAGAAGGGGGAGAAATTAAAGTATGAGGTGAGTGACAAGCTGAAGCGTGGATGAGTGTCTTTATCTGTGTGTTGGCCTTGTTTTTTTAACCTGTATCACCTACAGGTGGAGGAAATCACCAGTGTGTATGAGGAGGTGGATGAGGAGCAGTACTCAAAGATGGTGCGGGAGAGGCAAGATGATGACTGGATTATTGATGATGGTGAGTCTTCCAGACTGCACTTAAAAGGCCCATGTCATAGTAAAACATGCTTCTTGGGTTACGGTTAGCTAAATGGTCTGTTGTGAATCAGTTATATTTGTGAGGTCAATACATTTGCATGTATCCATCTGTTCAACCTACAGCAGTTTAGCTCCACTCTTTCGCATTAATGTTAGGAGCGTTGAAATCTGAACTGCTTTGTAAATGAGGCTCCACTGGGACAGCCAGTCAGGATATAGATTACCATACCAGTTTCAAAGACACAGTAACAAAATCAGCTTCTTTAGTTATGGAAGACAGAGGGGATTGTAAAGAAGTAATGTACGATTAGTGATGTCTGAAGGAAAAACAGAAAACAAAGTACAAGAAAAATGTGAAATTCCAGCCTTTAAAATTTTTTAAAAATGCACATTTCTTTTAATTGGCTGCTTGTTGCTGATAGGCTGAAGAAAAAAATGTGAATTGAACTGTATGATAACAAATGTTCAATACTTTGTCTATTGGTTTATGATTTTATCCATCTGTCTCACTTGAGAAGTTTACAAATTGCTCATATCTGTTGTTTCATTTTAAAACGATGTAATGAAGTAAATATGCACACTGGACGATTATTTAACAGTTTAAAAGCTTTTTCACAACTTTGTGTGCCAAATATGAAATGTGAATTTTTGATAAAAGTTCTGATTGATTTCTACTGATCATCTTTATGTTGCCTTATTTATCTCTTACATCAGATGGAACAGGATACGTGGAGGATGGCAGAGAAATCTTTGATGAAGATCTGGAGGATAATGCTTCAGAAAAAGGCCCTAAAGGTAAGTTATAAAGATTGCTGAGAGTTTTGGTTATTGTTTGGTGTCTAAGTCTCTGCCATCTAAAATTAAGTTCCTGTAAACAGGCAAACCAGGTAAAGGAGGGGAGTCAAAGGATGGCAAGAATGCTAAGAAATTGGCTGTCAGTAAACCAAACAGCATCAAGAGTATGTTCATGAACAGCAATGTCAGAAAGCCTGCTGAGGTAAGTCAGCGTTGTCTATGTGAGTGTTTGTGTGGTGCCTTATAAATTAAGAATTTCAATATTTCTGGAGGTCTTATAATGAGTTTAGGCAAGCAAGCAGTCCATGTCAGCAACGTTGAATGTATTATATCTCTTGGAAGTTATGTGAATAGAAGTATGTTTGCACTTGTCAGAACATCTGTTCTTTTTGCATCTGGCATGTAGAAAGATGTGGACCTGTCCAAAGATGATCTGCTAGGCGATATTCTACAAGACCTGCACTCTGAGGTGAGGTGTCTGATGTTGGTCTTTCGTGACCCAGATGCAGATTGATGGACTGGTTGTTAAAAGGGATCTTTTTGTTTCTTTTCCAGAAACCAGTGCTTCTAACCCCACCACCAGTTATTACTCTGAAGAAAAAGAAAGCGCTGGGATCCCCCATGAATCCCTTTTCTGTTAAACAACAAACACCCAAGGTAGTTTGCATCCTTGGCTTCTCCTTCTCTTCACTCAGTAGCTAATGACGCATAGTGCTCTTACTGTAAGTGGGCTAATGTCTGTGTACTTTACTTTTTAACACATGATCTGAATTGCAGAAAAAATTGGCTTCTTTTATTGCTTCTAAACTACCTGGAATACAGTATGTTTTTATTAAATTATCGTTTAAAAACATTTAAAAATTAATCCTTTTTAATTTGGCTTTAAATGCATTTACATATATGCATTTGGTAGTCGTTCTTGTCCAGAGCGGCTTGCAGTTTAAGCATGTTATAGATGGCAAATGTCAGAATATCAGTCTTTCACAAGGACTCCTATTGTATAGAGTGGTGTGGCAAGAAGGCAGACCCCTGTCTGCTGCATGGAGGGCAGCAGTGTTACCCACTGCACTTCACAACTAAGGGGGTTTCTTTAATCACTGGATTGTCAGGCTTTTTTCTGCTGCTACTTGTATGTAACCTGTTTGTTGCTGTTGTTGTTGTTGTTGTTGTTGTTGTTGTTGTTGCTGCTATTTTAAAATAATCTTTTTGTTCATCAAAGCAGTCACCCTGCAGCCCCAGTGTCAAAGCCCAGACTTGCAGTGCCGCGTCCCCCACCAGCTGATCCTTCACCCGTTCCAGCCCCTAAACCAGCTCCTTCCGTCCAGACCAAAAGGCCCAAGGTGGAGGAGGAACCCGAGGAAGGTATCAACCCTTGTGCTTCTGATGCTTTTCTGTTTGTGTCGTTCACAAAAGTAAAAGTTGCATCCACCCCACTATTTCTAAGGTAATGAATAATTTTTTTCCAGTTGCTGACTCTTTGGAGTTTGATGAGGTGGACTTTGATGAACCAATGGAGCTTGGTGCTGAGGAACAAGAGGAAGTGGAAGTTAAAGTGAAGGCAGAGGCAGAGCCTGAGCCCATTGTTAAAATTGAGCCTAAAACTGAACCCCTTGATGAGGTGTTGAAGTGAGTCTGCTGTAGATGAATTTAAACCAATCGCATTGAGACGTTACAGTCGCTCACAAGTTTTATTATGGTGGGTTAAACTGACGTTACCCTAATGTCCCCTCTTCAGACTGGGCATGATGGGAGGCTCCTGTTGGGAGAAGATGGAAGAGGAGGAAGTAGAGGAAGCTCCTGTGGAGGTACAGGTGGATTCCAGCCAGCTCCCGCTAGTGGAGGGGCCTGATGGAGAGATGGTCTTCCGTTTCTACTGGCTGGATGCTTTTGAGGACCAGTTCAGCCAACCTGGCAAGTTTTTTTATTTTATTTTTTTTTGGTGCTCTACTTTGTTTGCCAAATGTGTGTGTGGGTGGGTGTGTGTGGGTGTTTGTGTTTGTGTGTGTGTGGTGGCCCATGTAGTTGTTGTTGTTGTGTGTGTTTTCTCCTCCTCCCCTCAGCTAACATTTTGTTTAGAGCAGCGTGCTACTGGTGCAGTCCAACTAGAGCCTATGTGTCAAACAAAAGGACTGTAGGCCAGGTCAGGTCCGTGGCACAATCCTTTTCGGCCTGCAAAATTACTTTAATTTTCTATTAATATTAGCCCATGTCACCATTAGCTGCACTACAGTTCCCAGCATGCACTGCAGTGTAATGTGTGCTCCCACTCTCGCAAAAAAAAAAATAAATGAAAGCGAATGGGCCGTTTTGAAAAAACCTACTGTACATTGGGGACATTTAAAGAGCTTTAACAGTTTTCTGTGGCTGATGTGGTCTATTGTTTTATTTAAAAGAATTTGTTTGAATTTTATTATTATAATTGAATTATTTTTGAATCATTCAAGTATTCAATGCCTGTTTTTGCCTTTGTAGTTTTGGCGTGTCTTGAATAAACAAAGGCCAGTTGGGGTCATGGCAAAATGTTAAGTAAAAATAAAATAAAAACACAGCTGGTCCACAGATTTGAGATTTTTTAATATGGCCCTTTTAGCTGTTGAAATTTAAAATGTTGATTTGGGCTGCAGGTGTGGTATATCTGTTCGGCAAGGTGTGGATAGAGTTGGCCAAAGCCCATGTCAGCTGTTGTGTGGCCGTGAAGAACATCGAAAGGACTATGTACTTCTTGCCACGAGAGCATGTGAGTTCACGTCAGTTATATTTAAACTAGGTTAAAGAGCCTCAGAGAGGTTTTCATTGTGTATTCAGTTGCAATCATGCTGAGGATATGTACCATATATTTGTTTATCTGTTTAACAGAGAGTAAACCTGGCAACTGGTGAGGAAACGGACACTCCTGTTGGGATGATGGACGTTTACCAAGAGTTTAACGACCTCTCTGAAAAGTTCAAAATCATGAAGTTCAAGTCTAAGGTAAGTGCAGATTATTTTCTCTGGTTAAGTTGTTTTCTCAGCCAGCAGTTTTGCAATGAGAAAAAAGTCAATGGAACTGTTTTTCTGTTTCCCAACAGAAAGTGGAGAAGAACTACGCCTTTGAGATTCCAGACGTGCCAACACACTGTGAATACCTAGAAGTCAGATACTCTGTGAGTGGATGCCATTGGCTAGATCTAGTGTTGATGGAGGCAGGCGGAGGCAGTCTGTGTTTCCCAATGAAAAGAGAATGAAACAATGAAGGGTGATTAATTGTGCTTAGATGTGCCTGTGGTTTGATGTGTTGTGTCCTATAGGCTGAGATGCCCCAGTTGCCATCTGATCTAAAGGGCTCCACTTTCTCCCATGTGTTTGGCACCAACACTTCGAGCCTGGAGCACCTTCTCCTCAGCAGGAAAATCCGCGGGCCTTGCTGGCTTGACATTAAGACCCCTAGTGAGTGACTTGTGGACTGTTAAAAAATTCTTTAAGTAGGAATCAATAACCATTAGTATTACACTTCCTTATTTTACTGCTGCTCATATACCGACCATTGAAAAAGTTTTTTTTTTTGGCCAATTTTCCAGCGCTGAGCAGTCAGCCTATGAGCTGGTGTAAGGTGGAGGCCATTGCTCTGAAAAGCGACCTTATTTCAGTGGTAAAAGATCTACCTCCTCCTCCACTGGTGGTCATGTCCATCAGCCTGAAGACTGTTCAGAACCCAAAGACCCACCACAACGAGGTAAGTCCAGCAGAAGGTCTTTTATCAAGAAAGAAGGCCGTTCAGTAGATTTGAACTAGGGATACATGATGATATTTATATTATATTTGTATTAGAAGACTATTAGAAAAGCAATCAAAAAACAGACATTGTCATGAGCATCAGGCATATGTTTAGATTTGACTGATGTTTCAAGCTGATATGTGATGGTGTATTTATTGAACTCTGGAAGAGCAGAATATTTGGTGATGCTGGGCAACGGTGCTAAAATGTCTGCATTTTATTAGTTTTACTGCATTTGTGACCCTCTAGAAAGAATTATGTTTGTCCAAAATGCTAATCCTTATTAATTCTAATTCCTAAAATTTTAATTCTTAAATGTAGTCCCAATTTCTTGACAAACGTCGGTAATCACCATCTGCCTAATTCTCATATCAGTGCGTCCCTAATCTTAGCCACCTTATTTGCATTGTGTAGATTGTGTCCTTGGCTGCTCTTATTCATTACAAGTTTCCCCTGGATAAAGCTCCTCCACGCATCCCTTATCAGACCCATTTCTGTGGTGAGTGACACCTGTTCACCTATTCAGTTTTTTTGTCACAGTGCTGGATAATGTCAGAACAAGCAAACTGCAAACATTGTGATATCAGTTGGACAGTTTGGATTTTCATGATATTCAGCAATTCACGTGCAATACAGAGATTACTACATACATAATGAACAAATACTACTTATTTGCCAAATTTCACGTATGGTTGGGGAGGGGAACATAATGTGTCAGCATATTTTATGTTTGTTATTACAATATGTTTCAATATGCGAATTAAAATTAGCAGAATAAATGTCATATTTAAGTTGGTTTCCTGTAGAGTATGTTAACTTATTTTCTCTGGGAAAATCAACCAAATGTGTCACTTGATCGGGGATGTTTTGACTATACTTAGACTATACTTTTCATAGTCTCTGCCTGAACTCTTATCTTGTTTGTCTGCATCCCATTAACATCACTAATTACTGTTGTTACAGTGGTGAGCAAGCCCAATGACTGTATCTACCCCTATGACTTCAAGGATGCTGTCAGGAAAAAGGTGAAGCAGTCATTTCCAGCTTGACTGTAGTGTAATTTATAACAGGTCTAAAGGACAGTCAGAGGCATTTGTTTTGGAATGCATGGTGATCAGACTTTCTCTAAAACACTTTCTCTCTTATTTGCTCAGAATGGAGTAGTAGAGATTGCAGCGACGGAACGCACTCTTTTAGGCTTCTTCTTAGCCAAGATGCACAAAATAGATCCTGATGTTTTAGTGGTAAGTTAAATTGTTGATTGGCTGCATGTTGCGAAGTTGTTTTGTGGTTGTAGTAGCCAAAAAATGATTTTAACCTGATTTCTTTTAAAAATTCTCTTTAAGGGTCATGATATCTTGGGATTCGACCTTGAAGTTCTGCTGCAGAGAATTAATGTGTGCAAAGTGCCTTTTTGGTCCAAAATTGGGCGACTGAGGAGAGCCAACATGCCAAAGCTTGGGGTGAGATGAAAACATTTTCATACTTGATAACGGTGTTAGCCTAACGTTTAATATATGAACTTGAGAATACTTTATTTTCCTAATTCTTCCATTCTTTTCCTGTCAGGGTCGTGGTGGCTTTGCAGAGAAGAGCGCCGCTTGTGGCCGGCTGGTGTGTGATGTGGAGATCTCTGCTAAGGAGCTGATCCGCTGTAAGAGCTACCACCTGACAGAGCTAGCAGCCCAGATCCTGAAGACGGAGAGGGCTGTGGTGTCTCCAGAGAACATCAGGAACTTCTACAGGTCAGTCTGGAGCCCATGTTGTACCAGTGTGGTACTTGGAGTCTTAGCAGTGCAGCCGGTTAGGTTTGCAAACCATACAGTGCCAATTTTCAGGTTATCTATTGATTAATTTACTTTTGTAGCTGATATGAGGGAAGGAGATATTAGATATTAGTGTTGCATCAATTAACCTAATCTGTTATTGATTTATAATGCCTACTACGTTTTTTTTTCTTTTATGGGGCAGTAATTCATGAAACAAAGAATTTATATATTCATCTTTTGGAATAACTTGGTCATATGAACATTTGTAGAGCATAATCAATAAAAATACATGTCAACATTTTTTCCAAATCAGTGACATCAGATAATGATTGCTGCCCTATTAGATGTTTTTTCTGAAAAAATGTGAAGAACTGCGTTGTGTGCCTTTCGAAATTCCCCATCTAATCTTTCCTTTGTTCCTTTGCAGTGACTCTCCTCACTTGCTCTACCTGTTGGAACTAACGTGGATGGACGCCAAACTCATCCTGCAGATCATGTGTGAGCTTAATGTGCTTCCGCTGGCGCTGCAGATCACCAATATTGCTGGCAATGTTATGGTAAGCCTTCCTTTTGGTGGCAGCCACTGCATTGCTGAGCTCATATACAATAAACAAAATGTTAGTCCTCTCTGATTCTGCTGGCCATCTCTGCTGATATCTCCACTTTCCCTCTCAGTCCCGCACACTGATGGGTGGCCGCTCAGAGAGGAACGAGTACCTGCTGCTCCATGCCTTCCATGAGAAGAACTACATAGTTCCAGACAAGCACTTCTTCAAGAAACCTCAGCAGGACCCTGTAGGAACACAGTTTCTTACTGTAATTTAAAGGCCTGATTGATTGATGATTGATTGATTGATTGATTGATTGGTCGGTCTGTCTTTGGGTTTAGGGGGAGGATGAGGATGTGGATGTGGGCAAAAACAAGTCTGGTAAAGTGAGAAAGAAGGCTGCATATGCTGGAGGTCTGGTATTGGACCCTAAAGTTGGTAGGTGTTCAGGTGGCACTGGCTGATGTATCATTTTTTTGTGTGCACAGTATATTTAACCCTTTTTTTGTCCTTTGCCTCCAGGTTTCTATGATAAATTCATTCTGCTGCTGGACTTTAACAGTCTATATCCCTCCATTATCCAAGAGTTCAACATCTGCTTCACCACAGTTCAGAGAGAGGCTCCTGGCTCCCGCAAAAAGACTGAGGTTTGTGTGTGGTTTGAGCAGTAAGTAGGAATGATTGTCATGTCCTCATTGTAATTTCAGTGCAGAAAGATCATAGCTGTCTCCATTCAAACAGGAGGATGACGTTGATGAGGTTCCGGAGCTTCCTGACCCAGATCTCGAGATGGGCGTTCTTCCTAAAGAAATCCGCAAGCTGGTGGAGCGCAGGCGGCAGGTCAAACAGCTGATGAAGCAGGCTGATTTAAACCCTGACTTGTACCTGCAGGTAAACAAAGAGACCAGCCCTCCGTACGCATCTGTGTTAGCCACTGAATTTGTTTTGTTTTGTTTTCCCTTTCTTTCTGGCGGTGTATATAGACATTGTTTTATATTGTTCTCACTTTCTCTGCAGTATGACATTCGACAGAAGGCCCTGAAGCTGACTGCTAACAGCATGTATGGATGTCTGGGCTTCTCATACAGTCGGTTCTATGCCAAACCTCTGGCTGCACTGGTCACTCACAAAGGCAGAGAGGTATGTAAAACTGGGTATGCACAGTGCTCAAAAGTAGTCTTGGGATACTCTCTGAATGGAGTTTGTCTGGCCAAGCTAAATCCATATCCATCACAAAAATTATAACTATCAGGTTTAAGGACCGAAACTGAAAATGACACAGTAAGTAATTGAAAACCTAAGGCCAGTGAAAGTACTTAACCATTAGTGGTTAAAAAGTCTTTTAAAGTCTTACAAAATATCTAATTTAATTTTAAAAAGTCATAAATGCCTGAAATTGTCTTATTTTTCATTTCTTTATTAAATTCCAAGATGATGCTAAATGAAGTTGAAAGGGGTCATTGTGTAAAGTAATCTATTTAAGTATAATTCATTAACCACAAATGTCCGGTCAACATTGGTCATGAAGGGCTAGACAACTGAAAGTCAAATACACTGAAAGACTCTGCAAGGGCTGCTCAGTTTCAATGCCGATATCCATCTAGGATTTTCTTTGTCTCTTTGAATTAATTGTTATTAATACATGCAGTATTTGACTTTATGTGCAGATATTTGCTATGAAAATGTTGTTTTCCTTTTGTTGAGGCTTAAATCGGCATTAAAAAGCATTGAGTTTTAAAAAGTGTCTGGCAAACCTGACATTAGTGTCTCTTCCCTTTATGCAATGTGGTATGTTTGTATTTTGTTGCATATGCCTTTTTTGTATGACAGTTTCTAGGCATGTAGTGCATGAGTTTCCAACTGATGCTCAACCAGGCTCTTTAATGTGGTCAGTGTGGCAAGTTTTGAATACTTGTCTCTTTCTACTACTTCTGTATTTTTTTCCCCATCTGATTTAGGGATGTATGGCAATCTGCAATCTCTCTCATAGATATTATGTCACAAATAGATTAATTAGACTCGAGTATGGTAGCATTGAAGATCTCTGGTTTCAACATGTTTCAACATGCTATTCAGTTGGAAACAATGTACTAATAGATAACTTATAACTAAAGTTGTTTACTATTGAGTAAAGCAAAACACTATTTCTTTATTATTTAATATATTAACAGAATAAAAATTATGAAACAAATTATGATCAGGGTGTCCCAGGATAAACACATGCTGCACAAAACAGTCTTAAAATAGAAAATCTGAATCTTGGCCTTCTTCAGGTAGATGCGAAAAGCTTAAAAATGCTCCACTACTCACATTCAGCCAGAAGAGGGCAGCGTAAACTCAGCTTTTGCATTGGAAGACTTTTTTATTTATTTATTTACATATTTTTTCATTTAAAGACCTGCTTTTAGGTCGCTGGCTCTGGTTTCACTCCACCCATCATGAGCCAAATACACTTGTTCCCCCTCGCTTTGGGTATTAAGCGTTAACCAACTGTTTGACAGTCTTGCGGTCTTGATGCCATTGAACGTTCTTCACAGTAATTGCCAGCTCCCTGCTCTCGCTTTTAAAGTGGCTGGGCTTGGAAAGCTCATGGGGCTGCCTGTAACAGAAACCACTATGCATTCATGTTCATTTAATCACCCTCTCTTCTGTGGCAACAATGCTGCTTGTTGGTGCACAGTATTATTCTGCAGGAAGGGAGCCATTAATTACTATTCATTTGCAGTGGAGTTGAGTTTAACATGCAGGTTCCAGCTTTGCTCTTTATGCCTGGTGTTTACAGACGTCTTAGCTCTCTCCCTCTCTTTCACCCTCACATCAAATATGGCAGTCATATTCATAACCCTGTTGCACTGAGCATTGGCAGCAACCGGACCTGCACTGCACACAATAAGGACTGCTGTTGAGCGGCCCAGTGTTGAGCCACTCTGTCTATGCTAATACAGAGCTCTCGGCATAAGGGAGACCAGTCTGGCTCCATGGCACAAATTACTCTAATTACTCCCATTATGATACGCGCTCACTGCTGTCAGCTGGTGTGAAACGTTTTTTCTTTCTCCTTTCCCCTCTCTACTTTTGAATGGAAGCGATCGTGGTAAGAGATGCCCTGGCCTCGGGCGCACTCCTTCGTTGCCCTACATTTGGACTCTCTTGTGTCACGTTTTGAATCATCGAGTTTCCGTTTATGTGAAGATTTAGTGGCTTTATTTATAAGTGTTAGCTACTCAAATACCAGCAACTCCAAATGCTTCGATGCTGTGGATATCATGTTTGCCATGGCAATGAAGGTGCTTGATTTGGCCCTTGTGTGGATTCCCCAGCGCAGTCTCGTGTTTCCCGCACCCTTGCCTGCAGCGGTGACAGTCTTGAGTAAAGGGATGGAGCTTGGTTCCCTGCTGATTTCTGAATCCAGGCATGTGAAGTGGTAGACGACTGCCTGGCATCCAGAGCTGAGGGGATGATACCGAGCGCGGCAGAGAGAATGTTTAACGTAAAGAGGGTGGTAAATGCTAAAGCTTTTGTATATACTGTAAAAGAGGCAGGTTGAGGTAAAATGATGATTAGCCAAGTGTAATTGCCTGCCTCTGTTCTGTAATTCATATAAGTGGTCTTGCTCTGTGTGATCAATAATAGAAATGGCCTGCATAAAGCTTTGCCTCTCTGAATTTTGGTTAGGGCTGTATGACAGAATTGACCCAGATTGCAATCAGCACATTTTTGCCCAGAACTCACTATCGTCAATTCATTATTTTGATTGTAGCCAGTCTCTTAGAATTTTGACGTGAGTGCACTTGCTGCATTTGAATGCTGCTGCTACACCTACACCTAATTGTCGTAGCATAATTATGCATGACTCATTGAGCTAAGTAGCCAGCTGTGTCTTACTTTCGATGTAGCACTTTATTTGATTCATTTTATTTAAATAGGCAACTGATTCTTCTAATGTAAAATGCCAGTTGGGCCCCTTAAAGAAAAAATAATGTTATTTGTTATGCAACTTTGGCTGATGAAGTACTGAAAGTGTGCCTGTGTGTTTTAGAGCTTAAAGGTTTATAGTTTAATGCTGAAATTGCAGTTGGAAAGAGCACAATTTTTATGTTACAAAAGCTATAATTCTAATTAAAGCTTACGTTATCAGCAGTGTTGTCATAACAAGACGCATGAGGAAATTTAAGTGTATAACATGGAACTCATGAACAGCCTTTAGATGAGTCAGACTAGTAAGAAGGTACCCATGTGCTGTTTACATGACAGCGCAATCACAATAAAATAGTCTGGCAGACTATGGTCAGCGTTCAAGCTTGAAGCCAGGAAAAAATTAGATATACTAGTGTTCTTAGCCACAGTAAACAGGCTTTGACCTTAATTTGTTAAAAAAAAAAATATTGTTAAGAACAGTTCAGATCAGTTTTTCATTTTTTCTCCAAATTGCCCAGCCCTGGTATGTTAGCCCACAGAGCGTGAGGTTTTTAAACCACAAAAACGGCTAGTATAAAAATATAGAAAATTGGCAATAAAGAAAAAAAAACATTCATAACATTTTGTCGTTGTTGCACAGTTTTTTTTTTTTGGTTAATTTATTAGTGGAACCTTTTTTTATTAGCGAAAGCATATAATGCTTTCTAATAAGCTATCTTACAGACTTGTGCACTGTATTTTAATCATTATCGCAGAACTGATCTCAGTCTTATGCGAATGTATAAGAACAAATAAACAGAACAGTCAATGTATCAAACTGACTGACTCCCTATAGTAGTAGTAACTGGTCACTTTCTCACAGGAGTTGGGAGATTATCAGCCACAAGCTTAAGGTTGCAAGTCTCAAATAGTGAGTGAGATGATGTGGCAGCAGATCGCTCATGCCTCTGCAGTAGCAATCTTTGACCTTCTGTGTTGGTGACACTGTCGTATCACGCAAGCAAAACCTAAGAGGGTCATTAATCAGAGGCTATTAAAGAAATGAAAGCTAAGTATTTTTAGAACTGAATGAAAGCAAAGAGTGTTTAAAAATGTGAAAACAATTCATGTAATTATAATGTAGCACACACAAGTGAAACAGTGGCAGTCTGTGACAGCCATGTGCTTATTTTTCTAATATGGGTGCATCAAAACATGGGCGGTTATACGTTGCCAGTGCTTGCAGGTGTCCTTAATATGCTGTTTTGCCAGTTAGTCTTTTTCGGTCATGATTGAATGAAAAAGTAACTGATTTAAAAATGATTTTGTATTTGCGACTCTATTGGGATCTGAGTCTATGTATCTGCATAGGTTTCATCTAGAATGGAAAAGTAAAAGTGTCTCAAAAGCTTCTCACTGACCCATTTTTTTGATGGTCTCACTGAATTTATGCTCTCAATTCTGTGTTGTGCTGTAAAATTGACAGGACGAGTTCTTTGAACTGCTGTCTTGATTAGGACTCTGTTGCTTGGAGATGGTGAGCAGGACTTATGCCTCAGTCATTTAGTTCATCTAGGGGCGAGAAGGCTTGGGAAATTCCCCACCAAGTCAGCCAGCAAGCCCTCCTCGGGTTTAGCGTTTTAACTAGCGGAAGCGAAGAGCCACTCTGAGCACTTTGACCTTTCTGGAGAAACATTTGTTCTGGTGCGAACCCTCTGCTGCTCTGGCATGTCAAGTATGACGTGGAATCGGAGGGTTAGTGTTACATACTGAGGGGTCTGTCGTGATTGATGTGGCCCTGTTTTATTTTGGGACCCTTTGTGCGGAGACCAGTGTGAAGTACGAGGCTTCAGCTGTGGGGCGGAGGGAGGGAGGGAGTGGGAGCCCAGGCTAATCGAGTGATGTTTACGACTTCTATCGCGTCAGGCCGCTGATGGTTGGAGAATGTTAGTGAGCTTGACCTTTGGCCCAGCCCTGGCCTCCTCTAGGCCTCACTTGGGAGAGTTAAAGGAGGGAAAACTAAACCCCATTATCTCATCATTGAGCCACTGGTCTTGTGCTGTAAAACCTGCTGACCTCGGCATGCGGCGGGAGGCTAGTGGACCCGGGCTGGTGGCTTTGAAGAGGGAGGCAGAGCGAGATGTGATCTGAGTAAATGCTGCCTCGTCACTGTACTTCTGGGCGAGCATTTGTCAGAACCACAAAGGTCATTTTTAACCTTCCCAGAATAAAACGTAAGTGGG